GAAAATGAAGGCTAATCATGTCTTGGGTGTACTATTCCTTTAAGCTCACTTCTTTAATTAGGATGAATTGTCTATGCTTGACTTTTCCAGGTGAAGGAAGCCAAGAATGAAGTCATTGACCTTTGCTTCCAAGATGTAAAAGTACGAACTCTGCCCATCTTAGCACGAGGTAAACATGCTAACACATCAACTTGCAAAATATTGATTAAAACAACTATGATTACTCTGATGTGTGGGAGTTTTTTAATAAATGAAATACATTACTATCTACTCCTATTTGCAGTAATATATTATTGCATGTGATTATTTTTACCATATTTTAGAGCAATGCAAAAAAAACGTTTCCAGTTCAAAATGCATCAAAATTAATAATCTAATATTCTAAAACTTTATGAAATTATATTGATAGCTATAGTTTTATATATGTTATACATCTAAACACCTCAAACCAAAAACCAGGCTATGCAACTGCATTACAAATTAATGTAGGGGAAAAAATGAGTTACTGAACATAGAGGCTGAGCTCATTGCTATATGTGAGGATTTCTGTCTATAAGGTCTGCAAAAGTCTGTTCCTGGCAGACAATTATTTGAGCGAAAGGTGGATATTACATACATTTTAAATGCTTGAAGTCCTACTGTGAGATTTGTAGTATTTGCATAAAACCTTCTCATTGTTCCTCTTTAATTATGCATTTTAATTGCAATGCAATGCAATTCAGTGACTCTTTAGGTCCTCCATACTAAAGTGGGTCCTTCTAAAATTGCTATCTATACAGCATGTCATGCAGTAATTTTAACAGTCAATATAGTTTATCACACATACATCAGAAGATCAACCTTGTCTTTATTGGACTGAAGTCCAGTATATCACATCATCACATCACTCAGGATGTGCTCTCTTCGTCTTTTTCCTGGACAGGGCCGCCTTTTACAGCTGCTTGTTGTATCTCTGCTTCATTTTCCTTGAACCCCAGTTGACCTCGGCAGATGGACGCTCACAGTGAGCCTGGTTCTGCTGGAGGTTTCTTACTGTTCAAAGGGAGTTTTTCCTCTCCACTGTCGCTACAAGCATGCTTAGTGATAGGGATTGCTGAAGAGTCAATGAGTCGATGCAATGAACTGGTTTTCCGTAGATAGATCTTGACTGGATGATTTGGCGAATTGTAAAGTGCCTTGAGATGACGTGTTGGGGAAATATTGAGGAGAACCAGAGCAATCTAAACGAAATAAATAAAAACGCTGGAAATATGTTTTTATTCAACATTTTTATTTATCACATTCAATTCAGTTTATTTCTATAGCACCAATT